GTTAATTTTATTGGGTGTTTAGCAGGCTCTGATGGCAGCCCAGAGACCTGTACATCTTCACAGGTGGATAACTCTCTGGCAGGACCTTGATTGCAACTCGATTTTCTACCTTATAGACCCAAAGCCCTGCCAAGGATGTGTCCCCTGGGGGGCACAGGATGCAGAAAGGTTCTCCAAAGGCAGTGTGCTGCTTGGGCTTGAGAAAGAGCCAGGAATGGAAAATTCTGCTGCCCCTGGCATGGACTTCAGTGACCCCTCTGGGAGCAGGGCAGGTAAGGCCATGCCCTGCAGGTGCCTCTGTGGATGCTGCAGAGGGTGAGGTGGGCACAGCCTGGCTTTGGGCAGCCTGAGGAATGTTCCTTTTCCAAATAAGCCCACGTTGGAGAGCTTTTGCTGGAGGAAATCACAGCCAGCACCTGCTTTACTGATGTGGCTGTTCTGGGATGAAATCCTGGGAGAAAAAAAGCCCAGAACAGGGGCAGGGGTTCAGGAAAAGCATCTACTGGGACTGCAGCTCTGACAGCTGAGGAACGTGTCTCTGAGCCCCGACTCTCCCGTGCCCTTGGGGAGAGGAGAAGCTGATGGGGTGGCAGCTCTGTGCCAGCAGGCTGAGGGCTCTGCAGCTCAGGCAGATTCCTCACTGCTGGATTTGTTCAGGCTGGAGAGTTCCTGCAGGGGGAAAGCAGGCAGGGACTCACACACACCCCTGGGTTTCCTCTTCAGCCCCTTGGCAGGGCAGAACGTGAGGACCAACGTGAGGATCACCTGAATTTGCCCCTGGTGGGCTCAGGACAGCCCATGGCTGAGAAATGGCTGAAAACTCCAGAGCTGGGGTGTTTGCTGCTGGTATTTTTGTTTCTGCTGGGGAAGGGGTTGGGCAGGGCAGGTCCAGCTCCCTGCTGCCAGCACGGGGTGTCTGTGCTGCCCAGGCAGGACCTGGCAGCCCTTCCCCACCGTGACATCAGCGTGACTTCATCGGGGCTGCAGCACAGGGCAGGGGCTCCCATAGCTCACAGCCACACGTCAGCCTGCCTGTCTGGGCTGGGATGTGAGGCCAGCCCGGGTCACAGCCTGTCTCTGCTCCTCTCTCTGTGCCATCTGCAGAGGCAAACTGCTCCCAGCACCGTCCCTCTGCCACCCCGAGGGCACTGCCCTGCAGGGGGGTGGGTATAACCAGTGCCATCCAGTCTCCTTTCCCTTTTCCCTTCCTGGGATTTGGGTCCTCAGCGATTTGCAAGGGCAGAGAGTCAGCTGGCAGTGATAGAACGACCTGTGTTTGGAAATGGGAAAGAAGGAGCACAATATTAATTGCTCCTTAACAGTTATTCTTCTCTGCCTTGTCTCCGAGGAGAAACCCCTTGGGACAGCTTTGTGCTGGAACATGATGCAAACAATGAAGAAGTTTTATCCCTGACATCTCTAAATTCTCCATTTAGGGGGTGATGGATGAGGATCCAGCCCTGCTCTCGCTGTGTCCCCTCTGGAGAAGCACAAACACACGAGCACCAGATAAGTCACAGTCACCCCTGTCTGCTTTTCCCTGGGAAGCACAAGGTGTCTGAAGGAAGTGACAGTCACAAGAGAGACCTCACAGACATGGGAGGGCAGGGAGGTCTGTGCCTTCACAGGACCTGGGAATTGTCACCCTTTCCCTTGGAAGTCCTGGTGTTTGCTTGTCTGGAGCCAGAGCCTGTGGGTCCTGCAGTGTCTGAGGCAGGGCTTGTGCCCTGCCCTGGGCCTGGGGAGGCTGGAATGGAACAGTCTCTGCAGAGAATTGCCTCTGAATTGGCCCTGCCTGCCTCACGTGGTGCCAGCTGCTTTTTAAATAAATTAGTGTATCGGGTTATAATAGTTCCTCTATTCGATTCCTTCTGGGGAGAAAACTAGTTTTCCTGAAATTGCCTTCTCAACTCCATAATCATTACACAGCAAATTGCCTCGGGAAAGAGGCTGGAGCAGGGCAGTGGATGGGTTCTGCTCTGCCTGTGCTCTGTGCTGCAGTGGGAGGTGGATCAGGCAAATGAACTCATAAATTCCCTTCCTTCACGTCAGCACATCCCTCTGTCTGAGGTGGGGGGGGGGGGGGGGGCTGGAGGCTGTTTGGGAGCTTATTATTCCTTTTTTATATTTTTTTTTTCTTTATTTTGACCACAGCATCACTGCTGGGAAGACACAATCCAGGGTACATCATCCCTGATGAGATCTGGCAGGCTGCTGCTGGGACCAGGCAGGTCTTTAGGCTGTTGCTTTTGGCCATTTCTCTCATTACAGGCTTCCAGCAGCTGCCTTATCTCATGGAGAGGCACTTCCATTAGGTAGGAGAGGAAGGGAAGGAGGAAGAAATGAGGTAAGGAAGGAGATGGTCCAGGAGGGAGAACAGGCAGGAGAGCTGTGAACTCCTGGACTGAATCAATGACCATTTCTCATGTGCTGCCCCTCTCTGCCCCAGTTGTTGCTGAGCCCTTTGCTTCAGCAGCCTGGAGCACGAGACTGAACGTGCTTGTGTCCTGGCTCCAGCCAACCCTGCCTTGCTCTGGCTTTACTTGGCTGCTTTTATAGGGTCTGCTCTCCTGGGGCCCCTCTGGGGTGAGGGCAGAGGGTTTGGGGGCTCCCGGGGTTCTGCGCTGCTCCTCTGCGACTTCCCACTCCGTGGGTGAGAACCCAGCCCCTGGTGTCCCTCAGAGCACACAGCTGGGGAAAACAGGCTGGTTTTCAAAGGAAAAACTCACTGGGCACCAGGTCAGGAGCAGAGCCCTGGCAGCCTGGGGCAGGAATCCAGCCAGCATTGCTGGGAGCTCCCAGCCCTCCTCACACCCCACCTGCCCTGTGCTCCCCCAGGGCAGTGAGCTGGGATGGGAGCACTCAGGGAGTGCAGGGAGGGCTTTAAAAAGCCTCTCCTTGAGGCAAAAGCAGCAACAAGAGATGCTTTAAAGCTGGTAAGTGAAACTCCCTTTTTGTTTGTTTGTTTTTTCCCCAACACTGTTTTGGAGGCTCAGGGTCCCTCTGGCTACATCAGAGAATCCTGGAATGGTTTGGGTTGGAAGGGACCTTAAAACTCATCCAGTTCCACCTCCTGCCATGGGTAGGGACACTTTCCACTAGCCCAGGTTGCTCCAAGCCCCATCCAACCTGGCCTTGGACACTCCCAGGGATGGGGCAGCCACAGCTTCTCTGGGCAACCTGTGCCAGGGCTTCCCCACCCTCAAAGGGAAGGTTTTTTTCCTTATATCCAGTCTGAACCTCCTCTCTGTCAATCTGAAACCACTCCCCCTTGTCCTGTCACTAAATATCTTGTAAAATACCCCTGGGGAAGAACTCAGCTTTTGTGTGGGAAAGGATGGAGCCATCAGCACGGGCAAAACCAGAGAATTAAAGCAGGTGAAGCTCAGTAACTGGCTGTTAAAGGTGATTTGAAATCCTCAAATTGGGACTTCGGAGAACAACATCAGGGGGAGGTGTTGAATGCACCGTTTTATGTGCCAGTTATTGACCCTCTCTTGCTAATCTCAGCAGAGGAACTGGAGACAATTTGTGCTTGTTAGAGCACGGGGCCAGAACCCCTCCCTTCCCAGGGCAGACCCTCACCCTGCTGTGCACAGGCACGACCTTGCCAGCCTCGGGGTTACGGCAGCAGGAGACAACATCTGGCTGCTGGCTCAGCTGTGCTCTGCTCGCTGCTCCCAGTGGGAAAGGGGAGCTTGTTTCAGTGGGAATAAGTTAGAAAAATGACAAAGGGAATGTCTTATGCTTCACAGCATCTCTGCAACGTGCCAGGTATCCCTGTGCCACGGGCACTTCAGCAGCTGCCAGGGTCTGTTGTCACTGTCGCTTCTCCTTCCCTTCATTTTTCTGCAGAACCGCGGAAAAATGGTGAAAACTGGGAGGGAAAAGCTCTGCTACTGTCCCCCTTCCTCCCTTTTTCATCTGTGTGCCAGTGTTTAATTTGGAAAGCTCTCTCAATTCAGTCACTGTTTTCTCATTGCAGGCAAGCAGGATGGGTAGAAATATTGATCTTCTTTTAATGAGTTTTAAAGGGAAAAGTGAGCGTGACTCAGAGCAGGGAGGCAGCTTGGGCTGGGGGATGTGTCTTTATTTTTCACCTGCTCCTGGTGTCTCCTTTTGGAATCTGCTCTGGTTTATCCTTTCCCCTGCCTGGGCTGATCCCTGCTCACTGGGGTTTGTTGCAGTGAAGGTGTTTTGTGTGGGGTTTTTTTGTTTTTTGCTGGCTGTGCTCAGATCTTCAATTAACTTTTGCCAGGTTTGGTTTCCTGGCAGCCTCGGGGCATGGGATGCTCGGAGGGGAGATGAACTGAGGCTGGGATGGTCCTGGGCTGGGAGCAGCAGCCGGGGTGAGTCCTTCCCCTCCTCTGTGCCCAGAGCAGCAGAGGATGCTCAGGCTGCATCCTGTGCCTCTGCTTTCTCTCCCACTGGTGCTCCAGCACCACCTACAGTCCTCCCTGGGCTGAGGAGATGCTCCAGCACGAGTAGGAAAGGCTCAAGCTGAGCCAAGCTGTTCCTTGGGGGGTATTTGCAGCCCTGCCTGGTATTTTCTGGCCTAAACACGAGATGGGGGAGCCTGGAGAAAAAAATCCAAACCCACCCAAAACCCCCGTTTTCACCCCAGCTGCCCAGCACAGGGTGGGGTTGTGCCACCACCCACCTGGTGCTGTTTGGGGACAGCACAAACCTGCAGTCACAAAACCCTCACAGGAGTTTCCTTGATTAAACACCATTAAAAATTCATTGGTGACCTGAGCAACAGGCTGTCAGCTGTACCTTTCAGGGGTGGAGAAGGGTGTGAATAAGAAAAGTCCCTCTTTCATGGAGAGCCCTTTCAGTCTGATTCTCCTTTTGTTTTTGGGGACTGGCAGCACCTTGGGCATGACAACTGTGGTGGAGCATCCCCTGGGTCAGAGGAGGATGAGAGGATGCAGCAGCACAAGGCATTTCTGTTCCACCAAGAGCTCTGCACTGGTAGGAAAAGCATCTCCTGCCCCACCATGGCCCAGGCAGCAGCCAAGCCACGGGTTAGAAACTCTCCCCCTCCCGTGGGGCCCCGGCATCTTTCAGCAACAACAAATTACGTGGCAAAGCAGAAGCTGAGCTGGGAGCTGCTGCCTGAGCTTTGCTGCTCTTGGTGTGCTACAGCAAAGGCTGCAGGGAAGATCCAGCACCTGGGCAGGTGGGGCTGTTTCCCTGGGATCTCTGGGCATGCAGGGTGGGGAGGATCCCCCTGAGGGATGGGGGTCCACCAGCCCTCACCAGCACATCCCTAATGCAGCCTGTGGGCAGGAGAGTTGTCCTTTACATGTCACAGCTGGCAGGCACTTGGCTGGAGATGTGGGGGTGATAAAAAGCAGCTCCAGGCTCTTTTCTGTTCTTTCCCCAGCCTAGGATGTTCTGTTCCTCAGGGTGCTCAGAGCCAGCAGGGCTGGCTGGAACTGCAGCCCCCCACTCACACCGAAGGTCTGGGCACTGCCACTGCCCCTCAGCAGCACCTGGGGCTTCTCATATGGCAGGTAATGGGGGGAGAAAGGGGGACAGCAGGTGGGAGACGGGTTTGAGAGCTGAGGCAGCTCCAGAGCTGCTGATCCTGCTGGGAGAGGCACCAGGGAGGGATGGGAGTGTTCCCTTGGGGCTCCCCAGCCAGAGCAGTTCCTGGGAGCAGGGGGATGGAGGGGCAGGACAGGGGCAGCTGGATGATCCCCCCACCCCTGTGAGGGCCCTGTCAGTGGGGGAAGGGGGGTTTTGGAACCAGGAGTCCCTGGAGCGTGGCCGCTGCGCATGCACCGTGTCGTGCCGGGGAACCCGAGCTGGGTCACTGGAGATCCGTGTGCTTGGCTCCCACAGCTCTGCTCCTGCTGCCATGGTGAGAGGGGATTCCAGAGCTTTGTCCCCTTCCACCACACCCAGCCTTTGGCACTGATCCTGTCCCTGGACTCTGCTCCTCTCCCCAGAGTCCAGACTCACCCGAGCGGGTTCCCGACAACCCAAACGGCATCGAGGACGCCGTGCACAGCCCAGGGAGCCCGGCAGCCGAGCCAAGGAGGGGGACACAGCCCTCCCTGGGACACGTGGGTGAGCTGTTTGTGGGTTTTGGGAATGGGGAGGGTGCCCTGAGCCCTGAACTCCCACAGAATCCACAGCCTTAGCTCAGCTCCTCCGGGCACTGCAGGAGAGGAGCACTGAGCCCTAAAAACTGGTGCCCAGTGACCCAGGGGCTTCACCAGGGCTTGGGAGAGCTGTGAGAGGTGGGCAAACCACACTGATCCTCTGTCCCTCTTTTAAAGATCCTGCTGAAGCATCTTTTGGGACTCTCTGCACCCTCAGGAGGCTGTTCCTGCTGCTCGGGGTCGTGGGGCTGCTGGCGGGGACGGCGGCTGGGACGTGGCTGCTGGGTCAGTGTGTCCCCAGGATGGCCCTGCTGCGAGTTTAGGGCGTCAGCATTGGGGGGGTGGTGATGGGAGCTCCTTGGTCAGTCAGCTGTAGCTTGGGATGGAGAGATGTGGCTGGTGTGGGCTCTGCTGCTGCAGTGCCAGAGAGGCTCATTCCCCTCTTCCAGCAGCACTGCAGGATTGTCCCCAGTATCGTGCATCCTGGGTGCTGCCCAGGCTGTGTGGGTCCATGGGCACCCCCTTCTCTGTTTCCTGCAGTGAAACACCTGCAGGAGGCTCACCCAGAGCAGGGGTCCCCCCCACTGCAGGAGCCAGATGCGATCCCAGCGTGTGGTGACGGGGAAGAGGAAGAGCCCGTGGTCCGGGGGGCTCCCAGCACAGGTTTGTGTCTTTGCTTGCTGCCAAAAAGGGTGGGGAGAGGGCTTCTGCCAAGCCCAGGAAGAACAGAAAAGGGGCTCTTTAAGGACAGATATCTCCTGCTGACCCACTAGCTGTGTTTTGCAGTTGTTTTGCTTTTCTTCTAAGTCCTGCTGCTTCCCCCAGAACTGCAGCTCCATTGCATGGGGGGATCCCACAGCAAAGGCAACTCTTGCAGGGCTCCTTTGCCTGGGACCGCCCAGTGACTGGGATCACTTGTAGCTTCCAGTTGCTCAAATGGCTTTTTCTGGGGGTTTGGGTGGGTTCTTCTTGCTGTAGCCGTGTGTGACCTGCACAGAACACTGCCAAGGGGACTCGCAGGTTGTCTTTAATGGAATGGCTTTAGTGTCTTTCAGAATAAACACGGCAAACTCCCTGCTGGAAGCTCAGCTGGAAGGACATCCTGGCTGGCTCCTGGTGTGCCACGAGGGCTGGAATGGCTCCCTGGGCACCCTGCTCTGCCAGCAGCTCGGGTACCTCAGGTGGGCATGGCAGAGGCAGCTGCTTGGGCCCCTGTTTGCCCTGTTCTGAGGGGGATGATCTTGGCAAAAGCAGGAGATTGAAGGCTGGGGGTTTGTCAGTGCAGCAGGTGGAACCTGGGACTTGGGATGACCCGGGGACCTGCAAGAACAGCTCCAGAAGACCCTCCCTGCCCAGAGGTCCATTCCCAGCTGCCAGAGCTGCAGGACTGCAGGAGTGTTGTTCCCATGGCAGGGTCACATTCCTGATCCCCTTCCTGGGGCAATTCCCCTTGTTTTTGCAGAATGACCCATCAGAAAGGAGTGAACCTGACGGATGTCAGGGTGAACGAGGAGCAGCAGTTCCTTCAGGTCAGACCCCACCAGGAAGGGAGCCTGGAAGACTTGTGGCAGGTCAGGTAAGGGCAGCTCTGAGTTGGCTGAAACCTTTTCTTTCAGGCTTAAGAACACAGCAGACTGTGCAGGTGCTGTGCAGCAAACAGCCCCTTTGGGAAGTGCTGCAGCCGCCCTGGGGCTCTCCAGTGCCCCGGGGGTTTTGGTTGCTGTTTATCCTGCCCAGGAGGATTTATTCCTGCTGTTTCTCTCTGCACAGGAGCAGCTGTGGATTGGGGCGAGTCGTGGCTCTCAAGTGCTCAGGTGAGCGATTCCCTCTTCTCCTGCATCCCCAGGATCTCTGGCCGGATCCAGCAACTTCTTTCCTCCCGTTCCACCCGCTCCCCTCGCCCTCCAGCGTGAGGATGTGGGGCTGGAGCCCATCCTAACCCCTTGCAGAGTGTGGGCTGCCCCCCGGGGCCGTGCGGGTGGTCGGGGGGGCAGATGTGCCCCCTGGGCGCTGGCCCTGGCAGGTCAGTGTGTGCCAGGGCTCCCAGCACCGCTGTGGGGGCTCGGTGCTGGCACGGGAGTGGATTATCACGGCGGCTCACTGTGTGCACAGGTACCCCCATGCCCCCCATGCCCACCCTGCTGTGCCCCCAGCCCTCAGTGCCCGCTGCCCTTGGGTTAGGGCACGCTGTGTTCTGTGTTCTGTGTTCTGCTCAGCTCCAGGAGGCTCCAGGGCTCTGCCTGGCGGGTGTTTGCAGGGATTGTCACCCACGGCTCCCTCAGGCAGGAGGCCGGGGTGCCAGTCCAGGAGGTTGTTCCCCACCCGCTCTACAACCACAACAACCTCGACTACGACATCGCCCTCATGAAGCTGCAAGTGCCCCTGAATTTCTCAGGTAAGTCATTGTGTCCTTCTGTGGAGTTGTCTGTCCTGTCCCACCGTGAAAAGCTGCCCAAAAATGAGCCTCTTCTGAACCTGCCCCTTCAGAGCAGCTCTTACAAAATCAGAATCACAGAATGGTTTGGGTTGGAAGGGACCTTAAAGCTCATCCAACCCCCTGCCATGGACAGGGACAACCTTCCCAGGTTGCTCAAAGCTCCATCCAGGCTGGCCTTGATCCTCAGCTGATCCTCAGCTGGCTCAGAGATGTCCCATCTTCACGTGGGATGCCTTTGGCCACCTCGGCTTGGCCGCCGAGGTGCCAGCGGGTAGACCTGGTGTCCGAACCGGACGGGTAGACCTGGTGTCCGAACCGGACGGGTAGACCTGGTGTCGGAACCGGACGGGTAGACCTGGTGTCGGAACCGAACGGGTAGACCTGGTGTCGGAACCGGGCGGGTAGACCTGGTGTCGGAACCGGGCGGGTAGACCTGGTGTCGGAACCGGGCGGGTAGACCTGGTGTCCGAACCGGACGGGTAGACCTGGTGTCCGAACCGGAAGGGTAGACCTGGTGTCCGAACCGGAGGGTAGACCTGGTGTCCGAACTCGGAGGGTAGACCTGGTGTCCGAACCGGGCAGGTAGACATGGTGTCGGAACCGGAGGGTAGACCTGGTGTCCGAACCGGGCGGGTAGACCTGGTGTCGGAACCGAACGGGTAGACCTGGTGTCGGAACCGAACGGGTAGACCTGGTGTCGGAACCGAACGGGTAGACCTGGTGTCGGAACCGAACGGGTAGACCTGGTGTCGGAACCGAACGGGTAGACCTGGTGTCGGAACCGAACGGGTAGACCTGGTGTCGGAACCGGGCGGGTAGACCTGGTGTCCGAACCGGAGGGTAGACCTGGTGTCCGAACCGGAGGGTAGACCTTGTGTCCGAACCGGACGGGTAGACCTGGTGTCCGAACCGGAAGGGTAGACCTGGTGTCCGAACCGGGACGGGTAAGACCTTGGTGTCCGAACCGGAGGGTAGGCCTGCGGTGTCCGAACCTGGCGGTAGACCTGGTGTCCGAACGGAGGGTAGCCTGGTGTCGAACTCGGAGGGTAGACCTGGTGTCCGAACCGGGCGGGTAGACCTGGTGTCCGAACCGGGCGGGTAGACCCGGTGTCCGAACCGAACGGGTAGACCCGGTGTCCGAACCGAACGGGTAGACCCGGTGTCGGAACCGGGCGGGTAGACCCGGTGTCGGAACCGGGCGGGTAGACCCGGTGTCGGAACCGGGCGGGTAGACCCGGTGTCCGAACCGGAGGGTAGACCCGGTGTCCGAACCGGACGGGTAGACCCGGTGTCCGAACCGGAAGGGTAGACCCGGTGTCGGAACCGGAGGGTAGACCTGGTGTCCGAACCGGAGGGTAGACCTGGTGTCGGAACCGGGCGGGTAGACCTGGTGTCCGAACCGGGCGGGTAGACCTGGTGTCCGAGTCAGGCTGAGGGCTCTGCAGCCCTTCTGTGGCTGCTTCTGGCAGAGTTGTCCCCACTGCCCTGGCACTGTCCCTGTCCCCTTCTCCCCAGCTGCCATCCGAGCCGTGTGCCTGCCGTCCTCCCACCAGGACCTGCTCCAGGGCACACAGTGCTGGGTCTCTGGCTGGGGCTACACCACCCCTGACCAAGGTGAGCTCCCACCCTGTCCCTGTCCCCCAGCACTGCCTTAGACTTTCCCCCTGCTCCCCAATGCCCCATCCAGCCTCTTCCATTGCACATCTGAGCTTCCAAATGCACCCCCTGCCCTCGTCCCACTCCTGCTCCAGCAGCCTGCACCCCACACTCACAGCTCCTGTGGCCATGAAGTAATCCCAATTCCCCATCTCTGCCTTCCCCAGTTAGTGCCCTGCTCTCCCCTGCTGCTCCCTGCAGACCTTGTTTGCCCCTCTTTGCCCATCCCAGCGCAGCTGGCCGGGACGCTGAAGGAGGCCCTGGTGCCCCTGATCGGGACCCGGAGGTGCAACAGCTCGTGCATGTACCCGGGGGAGCTCACTGCCAGGATGTTGTGTGCCGGGTACCCCCGTGGGCAGGTGGACGCGTGCCAGGTAACGCTGGGAGCAGTGGGAATGCTGGGGGGGTGCATGGATCCACCTGCCAGCCTCCTGTGTGGCTGAGGGAACACGGCCAGCTGGGCCACAGCAGCCTGGCGAGGTCCTTGGGGAGGCAGGCTGCCCGATTTTGGATGTCCCACCCCCGGGAGTGTCCAATTTGTCCACTTGGATGGGGCTTGGAGCAACCTGGGCTAGTGGAGGGTGTCCCTGCCCATGGCAGGGATGGGTCTGGATGAACTTTAAGGTCCCTTCCCACTCAATCTAGTCTGGGATTCTGTGACCTGCCTGACCTGCCCGGGGGGCAGAGCAGCTCCCTCAGCCCTGGCTCTGCCCCCAGGGGGACAGTGGGGGCCCCCTCGTGTGCTGGGATGGATCCTCGTGGCGCCTGGTGGGGATTGTGAGCTGGGGCCAGGGCTGTGCTGAGCCAAACCACCCCGGGGTCTACACCAACGTGGCCCAGCTCCTGCCCTGGATTCACCAGGTCACTCAGGTAAGCCCTGGTGTGTGCCCAGCCCGCCCTACAGCCCTGCATCTTCCCCAGACAAACCCCAGTGCCAGCATCCCACTGAACTCTTTGTGTCACTCCCTTTGACCCATGAGCCTCTGGGACGACCTCTTTCATAGCACTGATTCCTCTTTCTGTTTTCTTTTTATTTATTAGATCTACTAGAAATCAGGCAAGGAGGGACTGATTCATCCTGTCACTGTAACCTGAACAGAACCCCAAACGTGCTCAGTATAAATAGTTTATTAAAGAAAATAGCAAATTACATTTCTGTGAACAATAAACATGGGAGAAGTGGTGCTTTTCAAAATAGGTGGTTTTTTTGGATTGCTGTGTGTAAAGGGACAAGGGATCCTATGAGATGTCAGTGTATGGGCAACACTCTCAGCCTTTGGGTGAATCACTTGGAGGGGAAGAAAAGAAACAGGTGAGTTTTGAGTGGCAGATTCTGCTTCAGTATCTCCCTTCTCTGCTGCATTCCCATGTGCTGGGCTCAGTCTAACTGCCCATTAGACTGGACTTCCCTTTCCCCACATCAGTTAAACCAGAGCAGAAGGGTTCTGCAAGGACTTGGGTGACACAAGTCAGGGCCTCAGGCCCTGCAAAAATGCTTGGAATGGGAACAGAAGTTGGACAGAAGTGCAAATGAAAAGGATACAACAGGAGATAACAGATTAAAAACACCAAGTTCTGTGACTGAAACTTTAGTGAGCACGACAGGGCAGGTAGAACTTTGCTCCACGGGTGCAGCATCTTGGCCTCTGGGCTAATTTAAGTGAATGCTCTCAGTGAGTTTTTCAATTAAATTGGGTGAGAAATTTCTCAAAATCTAAACCACAGCCTCTTGTGACTGAAAAAGACAATGTTACGAGTGCACCTTTCATTCCCTTTTTGCATTGGTTTACACTGTTCTTAAAGGACAGAAAATATAATAACAGAAAGACACCAGAGCTACCCAGTTCACAGCCAACAAAAACACGAAGGAGCTGAACTGGCTTCTACAGCTGGTAAAGCAAGACTGAAAAATTCTAAGTCAGTTTTAAGATATTTTCCATGAGAAATAAGAGAATTTTGCTACTTGTGCAAAACCCTGTGACTTGATCACCAGTTCACTCTGCACAGGATCTCCTTTCCCCAAATCCCCCCTAAATTGTTGCTCTCTTGAGGTCTGTCCCTCAGAAGAACCTGAGGTGGGAAAGAGCTAAGTTTGGCACTTCAGCATTCCTGGGAGGATGGCAAAAGCTCTCAGAGTGTGTGGGTTTCATGTGGAACTTGCAGGGACAGAAGAGGTAAGACAGAGAGGGGCTCCAGGCCCCCTGATGTAGAACTGCATAGATGAGAGTCACTACTGAGCAATAAAACCCCTCTGCAGGACCCTGAGGCCAGTCTGAGATGAGGTTCCACAGCACCTCACATGGGAGGCTCGTCTGGCAGCAGTGCCTGTGCTCACAGAGATGCTGGATACAAGGTTTGATTTATTTTCCTATGCTGGCCTGAAAAGAAAGATGAAATCCTAGAGAATGGGAACTAGCAAACATCAGCAAAAGCATCTCTCCTTCTCCAGGACACCCAGCAGCTCCTGAAGGAAAACCTGGATGTGGGCAGAACTGCTGTGGGGAGTGGGGCAGGAGGTGTCTGGCAGTCAGTGTCTGTGTGTTCCTCACTGTGAGCTCCTGGCCCCACACTCCCAGCCCCTCAAACACTGAGCCAGGAAATGTTCCTTCTCCCCCAGCCAAGCTCCAGGAAGCACTTACCCAATTCTAACATTTTTTTTTACACCAGTACAAATAAAAAAGGTCAAATCAAAAAAATATCTGAAAGTCTCAGTTTGCTCTTGCTTTATCAGAAGATGCAAAGTGCAGGTGGAAACGTGGGGTTACTTGATTTTGGCCAGTGCTGCTGCTCTCCTTTCTGTGTTCTGGAACAGGGCTCGGATCAGACTCTTCACTTCAGCTGCTGAGAATTCGGCTGCCAGAGGGCCCTTCCCATCTGCCCACCTGCAGGGGAGAGAAAGAGCTTTATTTAACCAAACTGCCTGGGAGTGGCACATGAAGACGAGCCTCTGAGGAGCTGTTCCAGTGGTCACTAACCAGGTATGTGTGCAGCCCCAGCCCAGAACTGTTTAGCCAGGTACACAGAGCACCAGGTTGTGAGGTGATTCCTGCACTCAGTACCTTTTCTTTCTCCTAAATATGCTTAAAGCCCGTCTGCAAAATTCCTATTCCTTAAGAACACAAGGAAGTGGTTTATGCCCAGGTGGAAGTGGAGTTGGGAACCTCTGGTGAGTAACCCAGTTCCAGGGGCCCAGGGAAGGAGCTGCCTTCCCTCTGTGCCCTCCCTGTGGCTGGTGCCTCTCTGGTTTAACCTGCTGAGAACTGGGTGTTTTCTTGCCCTTCAGAGCTCTGTGTGAGGCAGCTGTGAGCAGGGACTGCCCAGCTCCTGCCAGCCAAGGTAACAGAAGTGATTATGCAAATCCTCAGGGATAGTTCAGATGAATCCCCCTTGCAAGGTAAAAAGCAGCAAGAAACAGCATCCTAAAAAGCAGAGGGCACTCAGGTGGAATGCCAGCCAGGCTGCTTCCTGTGAGACACCCCTGAACTTGGAGAAGCCAAGGGGATGCACCAACACTCTGTGCTTGGCTCTCCCACAGCACATGGTTTTTACCATTTTGCCTTTTCCTTCAGCTGCAGCAAATTATGGGCAAGCTTGAAATGGATTGTGAACACCCAAAAGCAGTCCCAGGAGCAGCTGCCTGATCCTCAGGAGCAGTGACTGCCTTTCCTCTGGACAGCCCCTGCTGCTGTCAGACACTTCCCTGCTCCTGAGAACCAACTGAGAAGGGAGAAAGGAAGACACCTACTGATCCACAATTTCCTGGAGGTTGGCTTGCAGGATGATCATCAGCTCTTTGAATGTCATCCACTTCTCCACGTAGACTGGAACTTCCTCTTGGTACTTCTTGTTTTTCTCTTCTTCAGGTAGAGGGGTGAAGACTTGGGGTCCCTCCTCCACCATGATCCTACAGAGTGAGTACAACCTGTCTGCATCTTCTGCAGAGATATCCTGCAATGGAGAAAACTTAATTAATAGTGGAGCAGGGAGATTTACTTTTGGAGTGCCAAGTGAAATCAAAGCTTGGTGTTGTGAACATTTCCCGTAGACACAGTTACAATTTCTGTGAAAGGTAACTGCTCCCCTGAAACCTGACCTTGGGACCAGCAAGGTCACAAATGCCAGGTCACAAATGTCCCCACCACTCCAGGGCTGGCACATCCACCCCAGCAGGTACCTCGAGGGCAACAATCCTGGTGACAATCTCTGCCAGGGCTGTGTTCAGTAAGGTCCCCATGGCCTTGCAGTACACGTTCACTGGGAAGACATCCTGCCAGACCTGGCCCAGCCTCTTCAACTGATGCAATACCTGGAATGAACAGCTCTGTGTTACCTCCATGTTATCAAAAAGAATATTAGGAAAGGCACCAAGGGATAAGGTGACCACTTATGGTTAGAAACCAGGCTGAAAGAAGCAAAAAGGCAATGAAATATCCTGCTAAAGACACAGCCCAGGATAAAAATAAAAAACATGTCAGAAAATAGTTGTTTTAACAGTTCCACCCTGCTGAAACAGGACTGAGATTACACACTGGACCTTCCCCAGGACACCTGCAGACAAAGGGATGTCTGGCTTTGACTGCCTTCCTTACCTGCCTGATGGCTTTGTTTGCTGCACGGAAATTTTCCTCATCATCCATGTTAGAAAAATTCCTGGCACTTGAGAGCCTCTCCAGGATTTCCCCCTTCTGCACTCGCATCTGGGCCTTAAAACACTCCATCCCTTTAGGAGGAAAAGCAAGCAGGGAGAAGCAGTTAAGCAAGTACTAAATTTGCTGTGCCTATTTATGACTGTAATTGCTGAATAATGAACTTGCTATAGTGTTTTATTTTTAATCGAATTTCCAGTCTCTAAACAGTCTCATAGAGCCAATTTAACCAGTAAGTTTTGGCAGCTTGCATTGCTACAACAATTCTGAAAAAGAGCAGAGTAGCAGAATTAAGTTTGGACGACTCCTGTTAGCTGACACAAACTTATCTCTGAATCTGTTTCCACAGGAGAAACTGAAGAAAACATTAAAGGACTGAGCAGCAGATCCCAAAACATAGTGCTACAACATTGTGCTGGAATACACACAGTTTGTGGAACTATGTGCTGGACAAGAGCTGGGTTCCAAAGAGCCAAGACTTCCCAGTTTGGAAAATGTTGCCACAAATAACGATGCCCTGCTCCCAGGGAGTCAGCAGCCCCATCAAAGCACCCAGCCCCAGCTGCCAGGGTTAACTGCCACATGCCCCAGGCGTGTGTTTTGGGCCAGGAAGGTGTTACCCAGTCTCCTGAAGGCAGGCACCAGGTCCACGAAGGAGGCTGCCCCGTTGCTCAGGATGTTGGTGGTGCGGTAGCGGAACTGGTGGCCCAGGGTGAGCAGGTGGTGGGCGAGGTACATGCAGTTGTTGTGGTGGATGGCTGCCAGCTGGGGGAACTTCTGCAGGCTCTCCCTGCCCCAGGCAGGAGGAAGAGAGAAGGAAGAAATGGATTTCTTTATTAATCTGTTAAAAAAATAGCTGTGCCTACCCCAGAGAAGCTCGCTGCAGGCGTTGCAGAAAATGGGCGAGGCCTGACTGGCATCAGTCAGAATAAAAATACTGAACTTGTCACATTCCCAAAGGATCCCACAGGAAAGGAGCATTTGAACCATGTGGTATCCCACTCTTTTTTCTAGCTGTGGACTTTCAAACAGAAATATACTTTGTTACAGCAAAGTTATGGTGAGGAAAAGGAAGAGAAGTCCTGTCAGGAATACTCCAATGTTCTCTGACAGGACTGTGTCCTTTCATTGTCCCTTCACTGCTGCTTTTTTTTTTTTTTGGCAGGAAAAACATAATTAAAAATCTGTGCATCAGACCTGGGGTCAAAGTTACATGGCTGGAAACAAATACAACCATGCAAGAACTTCAACCATCCCCCTGCTCGCTGGACTGGCAACTCAGAAACCCTCAAGCACCTTTGCACAGGTATGATTTAGGAATAGATTAATAGGAGCTTTTTGCTGCTGGAGGAAGCCCTTAGTAAACCCCAAGTGGGAGTGTTCCAGTAGCATTATTCTCTCTCA